ATATATATATATATATATATATATAGGCAACGATTCATGTCACGGTTTTATCATAGTACAATGCAACCACATTTCTATAAAATCATGTTTGAGGTATTTGTATGACCTAAAATTTTGCACACATACTTTCTTCATCTAAATGATCAACCATAAAAAAAATAAAATAAAATTAAAGTTGAACTCAATATATGGTCAAAATGAGTCTCATCCAATAATGAACCTAAGCTATATTCATTTGGTGAATTTAAAGATCATAGCTTTTACAAACTTAAAATCATTTTTTTCTTTGTTAACATTGTTCATCTAATAATAAGAAAGCCATCTAAAAAAACTGGAAAATAAAAAATTGTTCTAAGGCCTAGATCTAATCATATTACCAAAATGGACAACCTATGTAATATGGGTTGAAAAAATACTTTATAGGTTCCGTTTTCATTTTTTTTATTTTTTTGTGATACTTTATTAGAATGAAAGGAGTGTATGTTTAAAAAATTTGATAAAACAAAATCGCCTTAACATGGTTTTTGAAAGTTGTTGCATTATATTACTATACAACCGTAGCATAAAATCATTATATATATATATATATATATATACCTAGATCCCACCCAACTTGGTAGTTGGATTTGGTTCCAATTGACTTGACATAACCCATGTTTGACTTGGGTCTTAATCTAATTTATACCTGATTTGGTCGGTGCTGGATCAAGGTCCATTGGACCAGAATCTAACCCCTTTAGCTTAAAAGCATTGGTAATGATTCCTACCTAATGTGAGACCCAGTTGTTATCACACAGCCACTATTGAGCAATATTTCGATATTTTCCATGGACGCGGGTTCCAAAAGAGGACACAAATGAAATGTGGCCGGTTTTCGACACAAGTGGAAGACGATGATAACACATATCATATTTTTGTGGTCGGCCAAACTAGCCATAAGCCAGCATCATATTTGCAATTTTGAGGCGCCTTTTATATTAAGGGATTGTTTACAAAAAGGCCATGTATCTGTTGCGCATAGAGGTCACAATTATTATTATCAAAATGGGTGGTTGTAAGAATATCATCGAATATATATAAAATTATAAAAAAAGAAAAATTATCGAACTTTTGTGACTCACCATAAGCCATCCAAATTGACATTTAATGAATGGACATAACCGTGACCTCCATATACGAAAGATAAATGGTCTATTTGTAGACAAATCTCTTATAGCAACTTACGATAGTAATATATAAACATTGGTGGGTTGAACTATGATATAATTCACTTAAATATGGATAAAATACCTTTAACATTGTTAAGAAAAAAAAAGAAGACATTGTCTAATGTATTAACATGATCGTGGTTCTCTTAACAAGACTGAACAAGTGGATTGATTTAAAGTAAAAATTATGTTTCGTCAAAAGATGTATCAAAATAAATATTTGAATAGTTGGACCAATTAATGTTAGCCGATTCAATTCCTTAAATAAAAGCTGAAATATTTTTTAATTTGTTTTATATTGTTTAATTTTTACTTTCTATTTTAATTTATTTTTAAATCTACTTTAACCAATTCGATTAGTGATAAAATCAAAATTGACTCGACCAAATTCCTCACTGATTAGGCGACAAGTTCGATCCCAACGATAACCTTGGGGTCCTTTTGTTTGAATGATTGTAAAGTCTTTGCATGGACTAATTTGCCAAACATGACAGCTAGTGTCATTTTTTAACATTACCTTTGAGATTTATTATGTATGTAAATGGACCGGACGCAATTCCATTTTCACTCTTTCAGGTGTAGAGTTAAATTTCACTCCCTCAGTTAAATTTCACTCCCTCAGTCAAAAAATCCACTCGGGAGGTTGCTTTCAATATAAAATTTTAGAAATTTTCAAATAATAGATGATTATGAAAATTTTGAAATTTGAATTTTCTAACACTTAGATTTTATCATCTAAATTGGATGACGTTTATTTAATCTCGAGACATTTACTTTTTTTAAATGTATGAGAGTGAAATTATTATTATTATTATTTACTGAGGCTAATACATGGATTTAATTCTAGGGTCCCAAAATTAATTCTAGATGATATTTTACTCGAGGGAGTAAATAAACTGTATACTCCCGCGAGAGTACAATATTTTTGTGAGGATATAATACCTTTTGGCTTAGTTTAAACCAGAAACCCTGGTATATCTGGTTCTCGTCAACTTGGTTTTTCTAAACCCTAATTTTACCCTCTCTCTCTCTCATTTCTTCTTCAAAACTCTTATTTTGCTCTGTCCTCTCTCTCCGTCCTTCAAACTCCTCATCTCCAGCTGCGATTCGTCTACATGGCGAAGGCCAAGTCGAAAGATGATAAGGGTGTTTCAAATGCTAATGAGAAATACGATGGTGCCAGCCAAGGGTACTTTCTCTCTCTAGTTGTTATATCTTTTTTCATTTGTTTTTGGCTAAGGTTTGATAGTTATTCTAACATATTTATTATTATCTGTGTTCAGAAAGATATTCATTGGAGGGCTTCCAAAGGATACCACTCCAGGTATGTTTCTCTCTCTTCAATTTAAAGGGTCCATGTTTCTCTCTAATGTATTCAAGGGTTCCATTATTTTCTCCTTGCATTATGGTTTTTCTTTTTTCCACTTAGAATCTACATTTTTGTTCATTAATCTCTCGCCCGCTCTCGTTTCCCACACTGGTTTGTGCATTTGACTGTATTCATTTGTTTTGTTACTTCTTATTTGCAGGTTATATAATGTTTTTTTATTTTTAGGATTCTGAAATTTGAATTTCTTCGTTTGTTTGAATTTTTCATGAGTGTATTTTTTGTTGCATGTTGGCCTCTTCTCACCATTTATCTTTAAGCACAGCCATAGAGTCCACATTTGCTCTCTTTTTCCTTTATTTCCAATTGGGTTTTCTTACTTTATTTTTTTCTTGGGTTTGTTTGTTTTTCTTTCTATAATTTATGGCATGATCTAATAATTTAAATGAATTCGGATTTTGCATGTGTATGTCCTGTTGTATTTTGCATTTTAATTTTTATCTATCCCTCTTATTGTTATTTGCCTATTTGCACGATTTTTTATATTTTTCTTGGTTTTAGTTTCTATGTTTTGGCATTACCGATACTTTTCCTGATTTTTTGTTTCTCTGGTGATGTTGGGTGATAGCTACTTTTACGAAGCATTTTGGGAAGTATGGGGAGATAACAGACTCTGTGATAATGAAGGATCGTTACACAGGCCAACCCAGGGGTTTTGGGTTCATCACATATGCAGATCCCTCGGTTGTTGACAAGGTCATTGAGGATGACCATATCATCAATGGAAAACAAGTAAGTCGTAGGTTGCTGCTATCTTTGTTGTTGTTGCTGCTATAATTGGTGCCATTGTTTTTGTTGTTGTTGTTGTTGCTATAATTACTGCAGCTGCAGCTGCTACTACTACTACTGCTATTACTACAGTTGTTATTATAATGATAACAATAACAACAATAATAATAATAACAACAAAAACACCACCACCAACAATAATAATAGTAATAATAAATGGCATTATAATTAATATTATTGACATTAACCTAGCAGATGGTTTTCACCACTGTTTAAAAAAAGCGAACTGGCGGGTTGAATTAGTCACCTAGGTCCCAAGTTGAGCTTGGTGAATCACCAAGTTGGCTAGTACTACCTGGCCGATCTTCGAGAAAAAACAGAGTGACAAATAAAATAGAGAAAATAATGGTAACAAATAAAGAAAAACACAAAATCAAATATTCAAAATCAAGTATTAGATTTTCTCTCAAAAAATAAAGTATTAGATTTCATAAATAGGAGGTATATGTCAAAATTAAGATAAAAAATTAAAATAAAAAAACACTTTGGAAAGATCCTTAAAAAAACACACACACACACACACACACAAACACACTTTGGTAAGCAAATGATGGAGAAAACAAAATTCTATCTTAGAGAACTTTTATTTTGATAAAAAAAAAATGTGAGCGGTTTTGTAGATCGATGTGATAGGAACAATTTTGCCTTTGAACAAATTTCGTGAAATGATGATAGAGAAATTGAATATTTTTTTTTGCTTTTATGTTAAAAATGTCCCAAAGTTTGTCGTCTCGATTTCTTCTATTTCGCTTTATGATCCAATATATTGTGACATGTGTTTGTTGGTGAGAATTGACCAAGAGCATGCAATAATGGCTGATTGGGTTTTTAGATTTGAAAAATCACAAGCTTTTGATAAAGACGCTCTCCAAAAGCAAATTTGCTTGAAATAAATTAGATCAAAATTGGGGGCTTACAAGCATCAATTGGTGTTAAAACTTGATTGAATTGGGGATTAAAATAGATGTGGACCAATTATTGATCCAAAAAATGGCAAAACAAAAAGTCTTTAAGGCCCTTTTTTTTTTTCGCCTTTTTCATGTGAAAAAGGTGGTACTGTAACTCACCCGAGTCTAGGCAAGAACTATCCTGGTATTCCATTGGTTTTGAGCCAACTCGGGCGATTCTGAGTCGGCTCGGCGATTTTTTGAACCATGGTACTAGGGTCCAACCTCCAAAGAACCAAGGTTTTTGAGCCTTGGTACCAAGTGGTGTTCTCCCCATATGGTTTCTTGCTTCGCAAAGGCTAACTTTGGTGGGTTGGAGGACTCCGCATCAGCTATAAGGTGCTTGGCCCTTGATGAAATTGGCAGTGGGCACAACCTTAGAGGCACAACCTTAGAGGCAAAGGATCTAACACTTGACACAAGGGGAGGAGCCAGATGAGGCTCAGTTGTGCCACTTGGAAAGGATTTGACTCAACATATGAACTAACAAAGTAAACTTTTGTGGTGTAGATGTTGCTTTGCACATGGGGCCATACTTTTTTGGTGGGGATTTCCTAGTCTTGGTACCAAGGTTAAAAATTCGCCGAGCTGACTCGGAATCGCCCGAGTTGGCATGGGATCGACGGCGTATTGGGTTGATTCTTGCTTTGACTCGGGTGAGTCTCATGGAAACCCCTTTCCATGTGAAAAAGGAGAAAAAGAAAACATGCTTTACAAACTTATTTTTTTGGTATCTTAAGATCAATACTTGATCCCTATCTATTTTTTACTAATCATTTTTAATACTACACTCTATTAACCACGGTTTAGATCTAGAACAACTTTATTTGGGTCAATTTGTACTTTTGGTAAGATTTTTTATCAAAATATTGTGATTGTTCAACCCGATAAAACCAGATCCATCATTCATCCATTTTCTCTCTCAATTTTGAACGAAATGATTAAAAGTTTGTTTTGGATTGTTTGCTCTGGCGTCCTCTAACAGGCGGTTATAACAATTTATTGGATCTAAAAGCAGAATATAATAAATCGCGAGTCCAAATTTTTGGATTTTGTGACCTGAAATTGAAAATCTTTGACTTCTCTCCCATTGTTTCAGCAACTTCATTTAAATTTCACTCAAAATGTTCATATCACATTGATCTACAAATGCCTTAACAAATTCTTTCAATCAGAACCAAGAGTATCTAAGATCCATTTTTTTTTACCATTTTTATGCAACTCTATTTCTAAAGTGTTTTTTTTTTTCATTTCACTTTATTCCTCATCAATGTTAAAAAAGGCAGAGGTGGGCAGGGGCTCTGACCACCTAGGCGGCGGCTGGGCGGTCCTTTTTGGTAGTGAGGGTGTGTGGGCATATGTTTCTAGTGTGTGTGTATGTATATATATAGAGAGTGTGTATGTGTGGCGCATCTTTGAGGCCTCGCATGATATATTTAAAGATCATATTTTTTTTTTTCTTCTTCTATCTTATAAGTGGAGTAAGAGAGAGAGACATATGGATCTGAGAGAGAGAGAGAGAGAGAGAGAGAGAGAGAGAGAGAGAGAGAGAGAGAGAGAGAGAGAGAGTAGTAGTAGTTACGTTACGTTAGTTTACGTTAGTTACGTTAGTTACGTTTACGTTTACGTTTACGTTTAGTTACGGTTTACGTTACGGTTACGGT